TAATAACAACAACAGCTCCCCCTTACATACCAGACGTTTTTCCGCCTTTTGTCTATTTTTTTTTTTTTTTTACCAAAACCATTCTTGAAGCCGACGTGCGTTCGTGCATTATACGGCAAAACCGCGAACTATTGGATTTAGTCGTACAAGGGAGCACGTTGCACGGGAGAAATCCGGCACGCGTGTACCGCATTCCCTGGCAATCCCCCCGTTGGTATATACTTAAGCGGGAAGCTGATGCGGCAGCGCTCTCGGGGCAATAAATATTTATGAAGCCGCTGTGCCTGCATTGTGTTTAGCTGCGTGTACGCGCGGGGTACGCGTTTTCTTTTCTTTTTCTTTTTTTTTACTCTTTCAATTTTTCTAAACCGAATGCGGATTCCAAGTTTGTTCAGAGGATGGATTTGGTAACGAATTTTCCATTTCCATTTGGATACACGATAATAGGTTGAATAGCGTTGATTTTTTTTTTTTTATTCAAGCTGTTGCAAAATAGCACTACAGACCCTTTACAATAGTTTGAAATTGAGCCACAAATGATTACGGAATTCTCACTTTACTGAGTGATGCACTACAGCCAGTACCCGTGGTTGCAAATATTGGAATATCAGCACTCCTATGACTGTCACCAAGTATAAATGTTACCCTTTGTACCAGCTGCCAAGGTAATTTGTACCAAAGCGACTCTTTGGCCACCATTTGGTAGATTGCAAGTATATCCTCTCATGGATACCCATCACAGACTGTGAAGTCTTATCCTACCGAAGATGCGAATGCACCCCTTACCAACGTCAGTCCTTCCCGTTTTCTACTTTATTGGCGATAACCCGCCTCACCCTCAGCTTGACCATCCCTTGGAAATCAACCCCCGTCGGCACAGTAGATATCTCAACCCTCTACCCGTACTGTGGCTCCATCTGAGTGAGCACGAAAGCGCATGCGCATGAAATTTCGATCGCAACGGGGTCCGGAGCTATAAACAGAACCGGCAGACAGGTGGAAAATCAAGCACCCCTACCCCATCCCCTGGCTTCATTCTTCCTTCCTTTTCGAGATCGACGCCCCAACGGCCGATCTTTCGTTCTTTCTTTCTTCCCCAAGCCCTTGGGATAACGAAATCCTTCCCTCTTTCTACCCCTTAAGGCTTGAAAGCCGCTATTCTTTTCTCCCTTTTTCGCCGGTCGAAACTGCCGGCTATCCTTTTTACATGTTCCGGAGTAATTACCGCCTGGCAAAGATAATTTTTTTTCTACGATTTTTTTAGTTTTTTCGTATAGTTTTTAGAGTGAATTTTACATCATCGGATAAAAAATTTGAATCATCGTAAAGAAGGTAGGTAAAGTAAACAGAGGCGAAACCTTCACCACCGATGCGAGCAAGAACGACGCTTTGGAGAAAAAACCAAACTACAACACGACTAAAAATTTTCAAAAACACCTTCTTCCACCTCCGTATATCAACGGAGCACAGTTCCCTTGGCGGAATGTAAGGCGCTAATTTCCACCATCTAAACGAGAAAACGTGCGCCAAAAGAAAAAAAAAAAAAAAGTACACGCGCATACCTTGCTTCACTTACGAAAAAAATGGAGAGGGTGGGGGTGAAAAAGTCCCAACTCCGGTGAAGGAGCAGCAGCCCGATGCAACGAGCGCTTTCTTCCCTCTCTATTCTGCTCGCGGCGTCGCCGCAGCCACCGCGCGCCGACGACGCGATCGATATATAACGCGGGGGTGGGCACCGCTCCTCCCCCTCCTCCCTTTCTCCGCTTTCTCTCCGAGCATAGGAGAGGGAGTGAGATCGGCCGCGTCGTAAATCGCGATGCCAGCGCGTGCTCGCGCGCGAGAGGCAATTTGAGCGAGTCTTCGGGGGATCGCGGAGGGAAATGAGCTACGGGAGCGGCAGCGGGAGGAGGAGTAGGGGGTATTGAAAAATACAGGAAGATTGAAGAATTCGCGCGTGTACGTGTTGTGTACACAGGAGGGGTGGTTGTATGTATACGCGTAAGGCTGCAGCTATTGAGTTATGGCAAGCGAATGGAGAAACGAACTCTAGACGATTTATGTTTATGCAACGCTGGTGCATGCAGGCTGTTGACAGTACTTTTTTCCCCGCGGATATGTAACAGGATGGCGTTGACTAGCTTCACGCGGGGCACGTGATATGTCAACCTTCGAGATTATTTATTGCGTTAGAACGATGCGGAATTTCAAAAGAATCGCGTGGCTGAATTTAATGTGAAAACAACACTGTAATCTGCCATTGGTAAATGCGAAATGTTTTTCATAGATCATTATAACGTCACGTGAAACTGCAAATAAATAAATTTTACAAAAATTATAATTTGGAGCTTTCCTCCTGGGTGCATAGCGAGGTTAGTGTAATTCCTTAGGTTTTTCATTACTAGCAATTATTTCCAAAGACGACTAAAACTATGCGTTTAACTTTAAAACATATTTTATAAGCGATAGCAATGCACTTGTGATAAAGTTTTTGTAATTGTTTTGTTAAAATCAGTACCAAAGCTTTAAAGATTTTAATTTGCATGAGGGTTATTAAGTAAATTTTATACTGTTCCTTTCAAAATCATCCTCAAATAATAATAGTGAGATCTTTACTAGACTTGACAAAAAACCTGAATACGTTAAGTATATCACGATAAAAATCAGCGCCGTAATAAGATAGCCCCGTAAAATCACAAAAACCGTAACAACCTTGAACTACTCTTCATTATCCCTCCGATGGATCGATCCATCCTCTGGCAATAAAAAACCAATAACAGCCTCGCCAGTTTCAATCGACAAACAATCACTTGCCCGCGGACAAGCTGAAAATGAAAAAAAAAAAAAAAAAAAAAAAAAAAAAAAAAAAAAAGAAAAAAGAACGAAGAAAAAATCTCCCGACCAAAATAAAAAGATAAGCCAAGACAAGAGGCAGCAGCAGCGGTCAATTTCCAATTCCCACGCGGACAATACCCTCGGCGAGAGCTTCCTTCCTTTTTGCTCCTCGTCGCGTCGGCGTCGATTATCGTTTATCCTCTCCCCAACTCTCTTGCGCAACAAACTTCCGAGCCCTGGCGACATAACTTCCTCCCTCGAGGCCCCATAGCGTTCGAACACCGCGAGAGAAGGAAAAAAAAAACAAAAAGAGATATAAGAGGATCATCGGAACGACGATATGATGAAGAGTATAAGGTTTGATCGGGCTAATCTGAATTTCATGGCGCGCTCCTGTTTACGGCCCCAATACCCTACGCAACTGTTACAACGCTACGGACGAGGATAATGCGAACGAAATTTCAGAGTGGGGCTGTGCCCCATGACGGATATTTTTTTATACAAATGTAGGCGAAGGGAGGGGCTTTGGGGCACAATATCCGAGAGGAAGGGCAGGCGCAATGATTGCCTCGGAAAAATTCAGGCCGAGAACTCGGAGGAATTTTTCTCCATCGGGTCGAATTGTCCTGCCGTAGGACGTGACGGAACGTTTAATATCGGGACTATTTCTCATCCGAGAGGTCGTTATGATTCTCCCTTTTACCGTTTTCATTGGGCCATCGGGAGTAATCCGGGCGGGAGGTATTAAAATTCTTGAAAATATTTACTCGCCACGAAAGGTATGCGGTATTATTTTTTGCGGCTCAACTGGAGCAACTGCTCCAGTCGGCCGGTATGAAAACACACGATCGCCAACGCAAACACGCGCAGCGTGAAAATATTCACAGCCATACTCCGGGCCGTATAACCTTTTTAGGAGTTTGTGGAAAAATCGATGGTCAAACGGTGCGGGAGAAAAAACCGTGTGCAGTGGTGTGGTGGCCGTCGTATCCCGCTGCGGTGCAAGACGCGTTTTTTGTCCCTCGATCGCCAAAGTGGACGGGATTTCGAGCGCACGAGTGATTTACGCAAGCGAACGAACGCTTTTTTCCATAATTTTTGCGCCACCGGAGCTACGCTGTACCTTTAGTGGCAAGCCATTTTTATGGAGCTATCGATCGGTGTGAGCTATACTCGCCTGTGTGTAGCCAAGGAAAGGGAACAGGAAAAAACGGAGGGAGGATACGTACCACGAAAACAGTGTATAAAAGAGGAAGAGGAAGAGGTTGACAAGTATTGCTTTGGAAAATAATTATGTAATGGCTTTTGTGCGGGTCCGCTGCATGGAAATTTATACCTGGATACCGTACGCTGCTTTACCTCGTTTTCTCGTTCACCATGATTTAGGATGCTTAGTTTTACCTTGGGAAAAAATTTGTTCTGCCAAGGGAACGGGATCATTTCGCACCATTCAAACAAACATTAAATTCATTTAAAGTAGTTTTAAAAAATTTTTTTTTTCCATTAAATCGGAACGAAAAGAAAAAAAACTACCATAATCCAATTATGCGAATATTGAATGCTCGAGGAATTCCGTTATGGTTCAAAAAATTTTGATTGAAATTCTTAGCGAAAAACAGCTGGTCGTAAAAATTCTATTTCGACGAATCATAATTCCTGCTGGCTCCCCGTTTATTCCAGTTATGTCGGGCAGCAAGCCATAAAAGTAATGCAAGACTGGGAGCAAAATTAATTAATTTATGTATATGAAAGTCAGTCCGTTGAGATTATTCGTGTATAAACACACGCGGCACTCAATTATAATATTTCAAACGGTGAGATTTTTTTTGTTCGCCAAAACAAGTGGAACGAATCAGTGAACGGTCAGACGGACGAAAAAGTAACTCATTACGTGCCGCATAATAAAGCACATTACTCAGTGTTTTGTTTTCCTAAAGATTTATTAGTCGATAGAGCAGGTACTAGTAATTTTTGGGAAACAACGGTGCTACTGATCATACCGTTAACGTATATAAAAGCTATCCTCCCTCTCCATGATTTTCATGTCTCCGTCTTCCATAAATATCAGGCCAAAGTCTTTGGTGGTCGAGCAAATACGCGAGCTTACAATACATTACAATAAATCAGCAGCATCTTCACAATCGATTCCACAAAAAGCAGAGGCTTACCTTAAGCTGCAGCTGGGCCCGAGCGATGGCAGGCTGATCCCTGCGTCCGCATAGCCGATCAGCCTCGACCTCGAGTGTCTCCGTCGACGACTCGACCTCGCTCAGCCAGGCGAGGAACTTGTCCAGAGAACGGTCAAAGTTGTGCAGCGAGTTCATTGCCGAGTTGAGCAGCTTGCCTCGATTGATGATGCTGCGAAGCATAAGAAGCATGTCATACGACCGAGTTACGATGAAACTTGAATCCCGAGTTCGAAACGTTCCACGAACAATTCACGTTATCGCGCACGACCTCCCCGTCTCCATTAAATCCCCCATCTCTCGCATCCCACATGTGCACCCCTCCCAACTCTGGAGTCCTCCAGCGGTTAAGTAATCCATTCATTGACGACCCCAATATCTCGAGCTCGAAAGCTCTCTCTATCCCCCCACCCTCTTGATTCTCATTCAAAAGGAAAGCATTCCTGCTGAGAGTAGGAGCAATCCTCTCTACAGACAATCGGGTATATGTGTATTTGAGAAATACATCTTACCTGGTATTGAGATTGTTGTAACGCTGGTTTATCGTCTCGGTGAGTTTCTTGACGCGCGTCGTGTCGTCCTGCTGGTAGACCGCTATGAGCTTTTGCGTGAGCGAGTTGAAAAGCTCGATTTGGTGCTTGTACTGGTGCAGCTCGGCGTGGAATGACTGACGGGACAAACAAGTGACAAATCAAAGGTTGACTCTTGCACGTGTCGATTTTATTTAAACTATTTTTGCCTTATATTAACCAGTTTTGATGCCTGACTTCTTTCGAAGAGGGGAAAATTAAAAATTGAACGCCGTATTTCAAGCGTTGGCGAAACGTATCGGTAACGATTCATTTGGATGTAAAAAAAAAAAAAGGATGAGAAAAAAATAACCGGGGAATATTGTCGCTAATGAAACCTTGAATAATGACCCCCGGGTGATTAGCTTCGTCGGAGGTAGAGATGGGTATCTCCGGACCTTTTACCCGAGAGTTCGATTGACAGTCGATTCCCGTTTTACGACGGGAGAAGAATCAACCTCGCGATATCACCAGCAATTCGGATTCCTTTCCTGCGAAGAAAACGAGTCGATAAAAAGAAAAGGGGTCTCTTTTCACGTGAAAACGTCATCCGTGAAGGGGGAATCGTACGAAAAAAAAAAAGGAGCGGAAGAGCCCTGTCTGTCGAATGGAACTTTTTTCCCTTTTCCAAAGTGAACGCGTACTAGCGTCAGGTACTCTTTCGCTCATCCTTTTTTTTTGTGTGCATGGGCTGAGTGGCTTCTGATCGAATTTATAAGACGCGAACATCATGAAATGCTGCGACGCAAAAGCGTAAGGAAGAAAACGTACAGAAAAAGGGAACAAAGTTGATTCAATGCGAGCGATATGAGGCGGGGGGGATCGGAAAAGGATACCTCATTTCTTCATCACACGCTGCATTGGGGATTTTTTCATTGAATCGCATTTATGGGCGCTCATTTTCTACCTCACCCTTATGATAATATTACAAGGATTAGGAATGACTGAACGATTTGAGAAAAAAAAAATTGTTTAAAAAAAGTGGATCCACTTAATTGTCCCCCACCCTTTAAGCACTATAATGAATAAATAGTGGAGAGTAGGGTATAAACTCGAAGCACTATCATTTTGAACCCTCACTTTCTTTGATCGATAAGTACCTACCCCCCACTAGAGAGTCAGTTCTCGTCCTGTTCACAACACCCCTCCTCTCAACACGTGAGCTCCTCAAACCCCCTTACCTTTTGCTCTCGCAGCTGGGCCTCGAGTACATCGGCCGTATGTCCAACTGAGCGCATACGCTCGAGCTTCGTCTCCATTCTCGAGAGCCAGACCTCGACCTCCTGGCGCTTGGCCTCGAATCGCTGGCTGTCGCCCAGCATCGCGTCCAGCTGTGTTTTACGCTGCATCACCTTCGAATTCGTCTCGTCCCAGTGCTCGCGCAGCTTTGTCACTGTAACAGAACACATTCGCATCGTGAAGTAGTGCTACTCGTGGTTACTACAGTGGCACTATTTGTGCTAGTGTAGATCGAGTGAGTGGTGTTTTTTTTTTTTTTTTCTTTTTTTTTAATAAAATTAAGATCCGCTTCGAAATCAATAAAATTAGTACTGTTGAAATGTAAAAATACACTTTGACAAGGGACTCTCCGAGCTACAAATATAATACAGCATGTGTAAGGATCGAGTACTTTACGTAAAACCAGTTGGTCGATAGTGATGCATTTAAAATGATACGCCCAAGTGTTAGTACAGAGTATGTGAGCGACGAGTAGAATGCACTTCGCGTTAGACTTAAGCAAAAGCTATTTCAAGGATTCGCTCGTTAGAATCGGTGTCAATGTACTATAGAACTCAAGGTATAGCTTGACTGTTCCATTATCTACACAAGAGTTCTATGTAGTTATCTACACAAAATTATAAACTCGTATGTGATTATAGGGGTTGAAGAAATTCATTTTAATCTGAAAAGTGTGAGTCGATTCTTTAGTTTATATAATACTGTGAAAAATTAAATTGATAAATTATTTAACAAAGTATTTAATCGTACATGAAAGTTGAAAATTTAATGATATCCGGAGTACCTTCACAACTACATCGAAAATATATTTCAAGAAAAACATTGATGGACTCCCAATTGTGCAGCGAACGATAGAAAACTGTGCAAACAGAAAAATTTTATTTGCTTTCGATAATTATATGATTTCCACGTTTATTCGTCATTCCATGAATAAAAAAAACTTCATTTTGATAACAGGTTGCGCTCGAAACCGTATACCACTACAACGAACTCTCCGCGCGTAACTGACTCCGCGAAAAACTTTCCATTGTCAAACTTTCCACGCTCGCCACGTACCTCCTAATTATCCGCTTCGTAGCTTCCCGGCATTTTCCACCTCCCAACGTATGAAAAAAAAAAAAAAAAAAAAAACCTGAATCAAAACATCAAACGAAAAAGATAATACGAAAAAGGAAAAAATAAAAGAAGAATAGCTTGAAAAGGACAGTATCGCAAGCGGAGGCGGACGCCCGTGAAATGCCAGCGTAAAGCTAATGTATCGGGCCATTAATCACGACTCGCATTGGCGCGTGACGCGACACGTACATACATACTCGTGGGACGGGAGCGGGAGTACGGGCCTCGGAAATGGATGGATTTCAAAGCGAAGCGTAAGTGCGTGAGTTTGCAGTCCCTCTGAACACTTCCTCCCTGGCACTCTATAGAAAATCGAACGCCATCAAAAACTCGGAGACTACAGTTTTAGAACGAACGAGCCAACTAAAGTTAAGAGCGATAACGTGACGTTTTACATTGGGTGGACGATTGACGAGAACGATCGACATTCGCGTGCAAAACAGTTGGACACCTTTGAGATTAGTTTCCAGTGGGAAGCTACGCTTTTGAAAAACCAAATGTTTGCTTGAATAAAAAAAAAAGTTGCTGTGCAAAACCACGGTGTCGAAACGAGCTTGATTTCCCAAACGAGACCGCAAGACAGGAGGAAGAAACCCGAGAGGAGAGAGCGCAACTCAACACCGCATCTTCCCGGCTAATTGTACACCTAATCCACGCGAGCAATCAAGCTCACTCCCATCCTCGCCGTTTCTCTTCCCTCCACCGCCAAAAACAAAAGAAAAAGGGAAAGATGCAGGAACAATGCAAAGAAAAAAAAAAAAAAAAAGAAAACCAACCGAGAGAGAGAGGAGGTAGCCCCCGAGAGAATGTCTGCGACGGAAAAGGACGAGAGTACAGGGGGAAGAAAGAAAGCCTCTTTCTCTGCGAGCACTCGAGCGCATGAGTCGGGCTAAGTTTCGCGGCTTGAAACAACGAACTGTTTTTCGCCTATTACAACTCACTCCCCTTTGCTTGCATAGATCGAATGAGCGACTCTTTTTTTTTCATTCTTACTCTCTCTCTCTTTTCTTAACGTGTATGGAGGAAAGGAAAAAAAAAACAGAATGGAAAGGAAGAATAAAAGGCGTACGCATTTCTATACTGTACTGGGGAGCGTGCGAAATGAAGGCATGAAATATTCATGGGGATCCCCTTTCTATTCTAGACGCAGGCTCCCCCAGGTACTGGTGTACGGATGCAGCCTCGAAAGAAAAGTTTGTGAATGACGCTCGCTCGCCTGCCTGCCCGATGCACTCGCCTTACTTCGCTCCCCGCACTTCCTTCTGGTCTTTTCTTTTGCTTTGTGCAAGTTTTTTTTTGTTCGTCGTTGTCCATCAGGCAATAGGTTGCCCCGAGATGTTGTCCCAAATACTTTAGATGGGAGCAGCGAAGGAGTATTAGAACACGAAATTTACGTGTACGCCTTCTATTAAAAAAGTTTTCTGTATTGTCCCGAAATAATAAAGCTAGTGGCGAGAATTACTTTTCAATCCAACTTTTATGAGCAGTGCGAGCCCGATAAACGACTTTTAGGTGTGCCTGACTAAACGTATGGTTTATCACTGAAATCAGGCTTATCACTACTACTATCAAATAATATTCTCAGCGTTCATCGAGTACATTTTATAGTGTTGAGATGTAGGGGGAAAACACTCATTTGGAACAATTATAAGCAATATAAACCAAATAAATGGCTTTTCATGCGAGTCTGACTAAACGTACGGTTTATCACTTAAATCACATCTCCACGTTCATTGAGTATATTTTAGAGTGACGAGAAGAATTATTTTTCTTCATATATAAGAGCAAAAGTTACTTGAAACAATCTTTAGCACTGCAAGCCAAACAAATGACTTTTTATACGAGTCTGACTAAACGTACTGTTTATCACTTAAATGCTTAGAATTCATCGAATGTATTTAATAATAAAAAGAATAATTTTTTTCTTCAAGTACGTAAGAGAAAAAGTTTTATGAAATACTCACAAGCAGTATATAAGCCGAATAAATAACTATTCACACACACCTGAATAAACGCATGGTCTATCACTGAAATCATCTGTTCATTCAGCGCTAAGGGAACCAATAAAAGACTATCGGCATTACTTGCTCATGTCGACAATGGTCCGCAATCAATGAAACATGATCCTTCAAAAGAATAAAGTTCAATTGTGGAGTTATCCCCTTATCGAAGGAACTATCAAACCCGCACGTCAAACAGACCACCCACTCGATATGCACACACGTGTGTCATAATTAAATCTCCTTCTCCTCCCACGTTCTCTACTTTACCCTTACCCCATCCTCTTAACGGAGTAACACTTAGGCAAAACCCGATTCTCTCTCGGGCTGCTGCTGTGCGCAGGATCTAATCGCATTAAAACCCTCAGCCCCCACCCACTCCTTCCTCTATTCCTTTTAGCGATTCCAATAATCCTCCGTCCACTCCTGTACCCTCCCACACGGTATGCCGATTGTACGACGTCGCCCATTGTCCCGGAAGTTAAGTCGTGGTCCGGGTCGAAGCAAAATTATACATGCGGACCGGGTGAATAACCTCATTAACCCCCTCCCACCCGCCCTTCGGTGCGATAATCAGAAAGGCACGAAGACGATGCTTATCGCCACACTCGAGATATAGTTCAGTCTCCCTCTCCTGTATTCTCGTTCGCTTTGCACTTGAACACCCTTTGCCCTCTAATCGATGATGATGATGATGATAAATACAATAATAATAAGCGGTCGATACCTTGTGCTCTGGCTCACTCACACGTTACATGCTCGATGTGTACGTCAGATCAGTAAATCGTCACTGCTACGGTTACACTTGTCGCGAACGCTAGCGATAGGGGGAGAGCCAAATGGTTATTTGATTTCATGGAAAATTACGAGGGTTGATTGTACGGGATATAAGGGGAGTCCATCGCGGCACTTCTAGCCAAAATTAACTCTCAAGCTCGCGTATCTACGCTTGCAAGTTTGAAGTTGTACGGATTATTTGGCTCACAAATCAAAGTGCACCCGAGTTCCCATCTTCTTGCTCAAGCACTAGCATCCAGGTAGCATCGTTTAAGCAAAAATCTCAAAGTCTGATTAACATTTTGGACAAGTGATCGCAGTATCGTAATCTCTTTTTACCATGACAGCAAAATTGACCTGCCACAGAGTAAGCGCTGTGACAGTGCGCTCGAATCACGAGAATGTAATTCCATTAAATTCCGGTGTACTGCGCTCGCAAAGGCATTTCGTCGCGGTATGTCGGCCTCGCATTGCCGTACTTTCATTAAGATCCCGTTTCCGCGACACATGGTCCCTAAAAGCGTATAATGTATATACCACGCATGTACCGAGTCAACAACCTCCTGCAAACGAGGCTTCCCGTAACCCTCCTGAAAACGCGTGCGACCCGATAACCGCGGCGAACCTCAAAATCGATGGCCCCAGCTATACGTCGAAACGAGCAAGAAACAACCCCCTCTCGACAATCGACTGCGTGAGGTGGCGCACGTATGTGAGCTTGGTAAATACACGAGCCAGCACGTGCTGCTGTAATATACGGCCATTAAAAACTTGGAATAGACCTTAACGAAGCCCGTGTCGGGCATGAGACAATTTCCGCTTATTTTCTATACCTACCCCATTCGTACGTTCCTTAATGCGTATCTATGCCCCTATTAGAGCTTATTTCCTATCCCGTGCTTGCACGGTATGTACAGTTATACTACATCGAATTTTGGTAACAAGAGTGCTTCGGGTGTGCTTTCCGCGTCTCGTTCTACTTGCCGTGTTGTTCGTCATTCGAATTAATTAAAAGTTCCAACTTTCGGGAAGTTGAAAATAAATTTTCATTAACACCGCGCCCGGAGAGATACGCGCGAGCTTGATAGACGTGCACCGCACCGTGTACTTTCACTTTTCCATTTCACCACCTTTTCCTCTACTTTCAACTTTTCCCGACCCGCGATTTTACGTCGCGGTGCTCTCAGACTCAAAGTTTACTTTTAAAACCAGCTCTAAAAACTCTTGCGCTGCCGTGTTCGCGCCGAAAAAGGAAAATAATAAAAGTTTTCGTTCTGTTTCGTCTCGGTGTGTTTTCCCTTTTAGAAAAACAGAAAAAAAAAATATACTCGACTTTTACGCGCAAAAATAGAGATAAGGTGGGTGTGCTGTTCTTCAATGGTACTAGCGCTGATTTTAACTAAAATACAGAGTGTAACAATTATCATCCCTTGAATGATGTCATGCAACAAACACCAAAAACGAAGACGGGCGCGCCAAAAATGTTCGCATCGCACCCATCGCTGTAATCATGAAAACAAGAAAACCCACGTCTCTCCTGAGACAGAGATACCTTGTCTAGCGTTGGGCGAATGCGGTCCAGTTTGTAGAGGTATGCCAGCCATGGGTGGCAATCCGTGGGCCAAGACCGAGGGTCCAAGGGGGTTGACGAAGCCGTGCATGGCCGGATGGCCGGCCACGTGCAAGGGACTGCCGTGCAGCGATCGCGTTCCCGAGCCCGCTAGGCCAGGCAGGGGCACCGGTCGCTGGATGTCCGGTGGCCGCATTATGGACGCGGTGCGCTCGTGGGGATGCGGTCGGTGGGGCGACTGGGACGGACTGTTGCCGTTTTCCAGGTGCTGGAACGAGTTGCGCCGTGACATTTTTTACTTCTTTCCTTAAGGGTTGATTTTACCGATGCCGATATGATGGTCTAACTCTTCGTTTCAAGTACCATTATTTCTATAAATTTTTTCTTAATGGTAAGAAAGGCTTATACAAGTAGTGTAGATTGGTGCTGTTTCACGACACATACTTTACTCGATGACTCTTTAAATGCCTCTATACTGTATAAAATATCACTTGGTTACAATAAATGTTTTCCTTAACGTTTCAGGTGCGATTACAGCGGAAGCGATTGTCAAAGCT